GGCGGGGGTACTTGCACAAGCTGCACATGAATCGTTGCAACTCTGAATATGGGCCGTTCATTAAACTAGGCTCCCTTTTTATGGTCCTTTTGTTATAAGGGTGCCGTACTATATTGGGGACCTAAACAGGGACCTGTATTTAGAGAAGAACTACCCAAAAGGAAGCCCTGTAGGTTGCACGATGTACATCCAAGGCCCTTCTCGTAGGGTTTCAGGTTCATTGGGCCATCCCCAGACGCCCCCAAATCCCTAAACCTCATAGCCATCGAGCCGGGCTCTCCACGAATCTCTGGCGCTTGGGCGATTCAGGGTTTTGGGGTTGAACTTCGGGTTTTAAGGAGTTTTGCTTGGTTCTGGGTGAGGAGAGATTCTCTTCAGGGTTTGAGGTGTAGTTTCTGGCAGGTGTAGAGTTTGCATCTCGCAGTGATTTTCAAAGCCTGATGCGAAGATCACGCTTGAGCATGGAGCGCCTGCTCTTGCGCTTGCTATATACAGCAATAAACTATGTTGCTGATGGCTGTAAATGGTTGGCAATGTCCTGTTCATGGTCGTCATCACCATCAGTGATTTCAGTTGTGCTGGTTGTCGTGCTGGACTTCTTTGTTCAAGAGGACCCATGCTGCGTCCTTTCCACGTGGATGAGCATAAGAACCCTAGACTTTAGACTTTACACTTTTCATGGCAACTTCGAGCTGCTCAGACCTATACATCATGTCATGTAGTTTAGGTCCAGGCTTAATTACCCCCAAGCCGGCTTCCCAACACTGTGGCGGTAGGCCTCCGTGTTCCGCGGACCTCAAAGTATCATGTAAAACTAAGGATGCCTGGCCCTTTCAGGTTTTTGTTTAAGGTTCAGGGATGCTTAGGGTTAAAGGACAACTTTGCAAATCAAGTATAAGGTTGCCGGGGCTAGAACCGCGGATGGTGCAGATTGCAAAAGCATTGGGGCGTGTTTCTGCTCCTTGTTGATGACAGTTCCCGGTTTTAAGACACCCCCCGAAGACCTCAAGACTCGCAGCCCTGAGCCCCAAACCGTGTTGTAACTGCTGTAGCGTGCTGTTCCGGCATCCTGCACTGCATCTCCTTGAGCTGGCAACATGGGAGCTCTGATTCCCATTTTAGGGTTTAGGGTTCAAGGTTTAGGGTTTATAGGGTTTAGGGATGTACTTGTCCAAAATCAGCGGTCCTAGAATCTACGACCCACTGGCTTCCGTCTGATTTCTGTGTGCATCTGGGGCCTTCGCGTTCGAGTCCTCGTCAGGGGTTTTGCCATGCCCTATAAGCCTTAAATGACCCTAAGCCCTTTTGCTTTGACACTTCGGGATCTGAGCTAGGTTTTTGCGCATGACCTCCTGGCTAAGGTTTCCAGTGCTGATTTGGGCCACGACCTCAATTGAAAGATGTGTTAAGCCGCGGGGGCTCATGCGGATCTCTTACAGCTACAGCCAGCGTGCAGTGCATACCACTGCGTCAGGTTCAAGAAATATCATCCAATTGGCAAGCTGGATCGGTTTGCATGCATGGGCATGTTGACAGCACAGGGGTGCATCGCGACTGTTGCTTGATCACTCAGTCTTAGCTTTTAAGCAGATGGCTTGAGGCCGAGCGCTCAAAAGATCACCCCAGCTCAGCTTGCCCCGTGTCCTTATCGAGCCCATGGCTGGCTACAAGAGTGCGAGCCACGACAAGGTCCCAGACCGAGTGGAGTCGGCCAACCTGGCCCGAGAGGAAGAGTTTCTTCCTCGCGGGCCAAGTGGTTGGCCGCTGCCCGCGAGAGGCCCCGATGCCCTCCACCAAATTTCAGGAGCCATGGTATAGCATTTCCATGGGCATCAAAGAAATCCGTGAAGAGCTGGGGTGTACCGTGTACAACCCCAACACTGGCAACAAGGCGCCTTGTTGTCGGTGTTGGGGTTCTACACGGTACACGATGCCCGTGGCAAAAAGGCAAGGCTCAAAGAGTTCAGAGACTCCCTTGCTGCCAGGCCCTTCCCGTGTTTGAGCATGCTGGGATTCAAGCAAGTTTCAATCCTGTTGCGGGCCTTTCTCTCTCTCTCTCTCTCTCTCTGTTTCGCTCTCACCCTCACCTGCAAGGAACTATTCAAAGGCGAGGCCGATTCCCGCTGGCTCCTCACTTTTCAGGAGCGCTTGGATCACTTTGAGGAGAGCCAGCTCCAAATTCAGCAGGGCCAGGTCCGGGAGAAGTCCTACATGCAGATCTCCGAGGAGAAGATGGGCAAAAAAGTGGAGCGATCCCTGCATCGACCGTTACGCCCTTCCGATCACCCACCTGAGGCGGCACCTTAGCGGAGGAGCACCTGGCCCTGCAGCAGTGGAGAAGGCTCGGCAAGGCATCAAAGCCGAAGTGGAGGTGGTCTCCGAGTGGTTCGAGCCAACCGAGGGCGACACGGAGCTGCGCATCAACGACGAGGGCGAACTCCAAGGGTGCGCGGTGTACGTGGCCGAACGGTGACGTGTAGGACTGGAATGGATGGCAAACAGCACGGAGGGGGACCTATACAGGTGGCTCGGGCTGCCGAACCTTCCGCGAGACCTGTTCCTCGGCTCTTTTTTGTGTTTATGTTAATTTTCCGTGGAGAACTCTGAGCCGAGGTCAGCAAAGGACTCCCAGAAGAAAGTTGAGTGAAGGCTCAGGGCACCGATCTATTCAGATTTAATCTGAATAGATCGGTGCCCTGATTTTCCAGAATTTTTTTAGAGTTTCGGAAGTTAGGCCCTGGCGGTCGGCGGCCATGAAGGGCCGGTTGGCCGCCGGAACAGTCTAATCGTAGTATGATCAGTTCGAGACTGCAGGACATGTCGCGGCTCTCGGTGGCAAAGCAAACATGTCGAGAATTTGGACCGAGCAGGAGCTTCTGTGATGCAAGAGGCCACTGCAGGCAGAGTCGGAATTTCAGGGAGTCTGTGCTTGAGGCTGCCGGTGTATGGTGTTGGGGATATGAAGTTGCTGGTGATTAGGGCTTTGTAACATGGTAATTGCAGCTGAAGGCTTTGTGAGGCTTGACTTGAGGGGAGCTTAAACATGATTGTAGGCAGAGTTGAGCTTTGCGGACTGGTGGAATATAGATCCGTAAAGGGGCCTGACACCAGATCTTAATCGACCTCTGCTCATATCGGGCTTCCCTCAGGCTCGCAGCCTGCATTCGCCGCAGACCCGACATAGTGAATTAATCCAACCCTGCGTCCTGAATCCACCCAAACCCCTGAACCATAATCGCAAAGCCCTGAGTCCTAGGCTGTAACCAATGTACCTTTGGAATGCAGCGAGCGGCTTCAAACTCCTCCATGCATTTTTCCTTTTTAAGACTCTGCGTAGACTCAGTTCCATCGGCTTTGTCTCCAAAAGGTTGCGAGGATCCGCGAATTGCACTGTATCGGGGCTCATGCTTCAGAGGGTTTTAGGCTTTGCGCGTGCGTAAGGCTTGGGAGAAAGAAGGGCGCACTAAGACGAGGACTAGGCTCCCAGCCGGGCAGCAAACCTTTCCCCAACAAATCGAAGGAGGAGCTGCTTGAATTCTAAAGCGCCCTGACCCTCGGAGAGCAGGTAGCTACACAGTGGCTTACTGTCCTTTAAACCCTAACTAAAACTTATAGTACCCTTAACACTTATACTCTCTATAGGCAACTGGGCTTCGAGGGTAAGCTCAGCGTTGAAGCCTTGAGGAAGTTGCGTTGCGCAGCTGGCAGCGCCACTTTCCGGTCTACGGCGGATACACCCACAGGGTGGGATGCTATAGTCCCGTTTCTGCTAGATGAGCAAGTTGTTTTCTGTCATGATGATATCCGTTCGGAAGAGTTCTTTGTTCTCAAGATGAACAACATCCATACAGATTAGAGCCGTTCAGCTCATTATCAAGACTTGTCAGTCAGTCCCGACCGGGTCAAATGTAAACTCAGTCGGTCGGGACGGAGGGACTATCATCCAGGCAGGATTCAGGCTTGCCTGCAGGATTTTGGGTTTAAGGCTTTCTGAAAGCCAGGCGGGCATGTACAAGTCTGTGCAAAAAGGGCTTATGGGTAAGCCTCAGATGCTTGAACTTCAGGGTCAAAGGCTTCGGTATCGTTGGGCGAGGTATGGCGAGACCAGAACCTGACCGCTCTTTGCCTGCATTTAGTAGCCTGCTTCAAGCATCTTAAACCCCAAATCCTAAACCGCGGTTCAGGTTAGAAGAAAATTGGCGGTTTTATCGCAGCCCCAGTTGTGCAGTCCAAGGAACCTCTCAGTAGATCGTTCCCGTTTCGAGATCAAAGATGTTTCCAGCACTGAAATGCCAAAATCGCAACCCTACGGTTGATTCCCATAATAAGGAAAATACCATAATTCCCATAGTGCAGGATTTTTTTCATCAACAGTAGGTTCAAGACTTGGGGGCCGGGTCCGGCTGAGTAGCAGTAGGTTTCGATTCAGCGTAGAGGGTTTAAGATTTAGGGTTTAGGGTTTAGGGCTTACAGAAGCTTCGTGACTTCGTAATCTGTCCCTATGGTGTCTTGCCTGGGATCTAAGGGGCAGAGAGAAGTTGGAAGAGTCGTTGCTCGGGTACCTGGTTGAGGCTTTACACTTTAAGACTTTATGTATTTCTGGTCCGGTTCTGCAGGGTTTTAGTCTCTCACGTTCTCTCGCTCTCTCTCTCTCTCTCTCTGTCTGGCTCTTGACATTGTCCATTTGCATCAACCTCCGCCGATACCCGCCGGCCTCTCTTCCAACAGTCCTTTAATTCACCCTGGACCCTACAGCCTAAAAGCTGCAGCTCAACAACAGTCAAGCATTGGCCTTCAGGCTAAACTTCAAAACCCGGCTTATGCTCTAGGATCAAATCGTCCTTTCTCCTTGTGCCAAACCGGGAAACCCTTGAATTGAGCAATGCACCTCAAACACACAGGTCTGCCGTGACATGTTAAGGTATACCGCTTATTAATCAATAAGCTGTTTTGGAGTCTGTGGGAGATGCCTTCTCAGGAGTGCATGCGACAGGACTATTGGGAATTCCTGCTGAGCTTTCAGCGGCTTGGGCTTCGGGCTTTGGGGCTTCGAGTTTAGAGTCCAGGACTCCAGGACCGTAAAAGTTAGCCCCGAACCCTAAACCCTGAACTAAATCCTAAGGGTTTGGCCGTAAATTAAAAGTTAGCACTAAACCCTAAACCCTAGACCCTAAACCCCTAAACCCCAAACCCTAAACCCTAAACCCCTAAGGGGTTAAGGACTTAGCACTGAAGCCCTCCACTTGGAAATCCGTGACCCATGACCTCCTAGAAGCCCGAAATCCTGAAGCCTCTGATCCGGAACTGTTGTGACCCATAGGCTCCATTGTAGTTCCTGTTTGGGATTACCTGACAGGTTCCTAAATATAAACCACAAGACCGGAACAGAGCTGCATCAATGGAGCCTACACATAGCGAGCATGCGAATCGAGAGATCACGTTGATGGCAAGTTCGAAATCAGAGTGATGCCGAGCTCATGCTGTGCTTTGCCACAGAACAAGATTCTATCCCTTACTGCATGTAATGAAAATGGGAACCACAATTTATTAAAGAGTGAGTCGGTGAGCTTTGTCTTAAGTTGTCCCGTAGTGTGACTCGTGGGATGAGAAGGCGAGAAGCACCGGACATGTCATGACATGTCATGACCGTGGCATGCTGAACTTACCGGACTCTGCAAGTGAACCCTGCTTTAGGACTCGTTCAGCAATGCTCCAAGCGAAACTCGAAGATTCCCAAACCCCAGGATTCCCAAGCCCCGACAAGCCAAGCAGGATCCCGAATGCGGAAGACCCCAGCAACTAAACCCTGTAGCTCTGCCACAGAGATGGTAGCAGTTGCGTAAAACAGGGGATCCGAAGCTCGAATCTTTAGCTGGGTTTAGGGTTCAGGGAAAATGGTGTAGGATTTTGTGGACCTGAAGATAGATTCTTTAGTTGGGTTTAGGGTTCGGGGAAAGTTTAGCAGGATGGTGTGGATCCGGAGATAGACTCTAGGTAGCAGGATTCTTTATAGATCCAGACTTGCAAGACCGCCGTTGAAACAACAAACGAACCCCAAAAAACCCCGAAGGAATTTCCAGAGTTCCTCAACGGATTTCTGGCGCTGCCCGGGGGCATCGAGAGTCCTGCCGTCAAAGCTTCTTCGGAGGTGTCCCTAAGCCGGAAGTCCGTGATTATGTCTTTTCTCCATTCGTGAAGTTGGGGCCTTAGGGTTTTTTAGTGGGTTTGGGGTTCATAGGGTTTTAGAGTGAGTCTAGGGTTCATATGGGGTTTTAGGGTGGGTTTAGGGCTTATAATTTAAGTCTCTTGACTAATTTGAGACTGCGTTTCCCAGCAAAGGCGTTGCAGGCTGGATTCAAAAAAGGTCGTTTGGCGTGTTTCTTTCGGGGCCTCATGTAGAAATATAGGCTGCTTCAAAATGCCAGGAATTAGCAATAGAGTCCCTCGGTAGTCACAACATATCTATACAAGAGTATGCCCCAAACCCTAAACCCTGTTGTGCCGTGGCTGATCTTATCCCTCTAGTTGCACAGTACTCAAATCACCTCATCTTCCTCGCTTGTGGGCATAGATCCTTAGCCATGCGAGAGGGAAAAAAAAACCCGGATCCTCAACATTAAGGTCCTTGTGTTAGACACCATGTCTAGGCGCAAGATGAGTGGGCGCAGCCGTGCAGATTCCGGAGTCTATAGTAGGAGGGGGCAAGCCACGGCTTGCACGGTACGTGGTGCTTCGGGCTCTATAACCCTAAGTTTAAGGCTCAAAATAGTCCAAAAGCCCTTATTAAGTAGTATGGTCTTGGGCCCCAAAAGCCTTAGACTATGAGTCCTTGGTGCCTTAGGGTAAGTTGTGGGCTTCAGCCTGAAATCCTTCTCCCCAGCTCGGGCGACACGGAGTTTCGGGTGGAGGGTTTGGCAAAGAGCGGGCATAGAGCACAGAGTGAAAATGAGTAAAAGCTGTTGCTTAGTGTTTTTTGCGGAGGGGACGGGGGGGAAGGGAAGGCTGGGGTTGTTCGGAATGAGGACTCCCTAGTCAAACTCATGTCATGCAGTTCAGCAGTAGCTTGTCGAGCATAGCCGGACGTTCCAGGTCTCTTGCGGCGTATGACGAGTGTTCGTATTATGGTAAGATACCCGGCTTAGGGATTGAAATAGGGTTTAGGCCATCCGTGAGGCGGGCAACTGGGAGGCACTTCAGAGAGACCTCGTTCTAAAAAGGGTTTTGGGATGTACCGCAATAGATTGGATGTTTGTAGAACAACACTCCCATTTGTTTCCGTGATGCTGCCAAACGCCATGCAGAGCTTTATGTTTGTAAGCAGTGCGAGGCGGCGTGACCTCAAACCCTGGAAATGTTCTTTTGCCAGGATCAGATATCGGCCGCTATTGCGCCCTGTACCAGCAAGGAGGCATCTATGCAGACCTCGACTACGAGGCAACGAGTTTGGGAAGCGGGCTGGGGAGCCGAAATCCGTCTTAAGCCCCTAGCAGCATTCATATTCATACCAGAAGCTGATTTGAAAGGAGTCTGCGGGTCGGCGTTGTTGGCTATTGCGGAGGTGATGGTGGTACTTTTTGTGAACGGCTGGAGATGCTGATGCCATCACTCGTCACATGTTCATGATCGCCACGAATGTGTTTTCGTCTTCATGATGGTCATGATGAGGATTGTCGAGATCGCGGTAGTTGTGACGGCCGAGCTGGCCTTGCATGTGGCTAAGTCGATTCTAGCAGATTCTAGCATCCACTACACCTAGAAGGAGCGCGGCACATAGGGCACCTGGTGCTTGCGTTGGTCTTTCCTCCTTTTCAGACTTCGGCCTTCAGGTTCTAAGCAGCTCGGTGCTCTGAGCCGAGGTCAGCGAAGCTTCTGGGAAGTCCAAGTCTCTCGCTGAACTCGGCTCAGAGCACCGAGCTACTTAGATTACTTAGATTTGAGAGGTTTGAGAGTTTCGAGTTTTGCGGCTGGCTGGAGCCATGATGGTCCGGTTGACCGCAGAAGCAGTCCAATCATCGTATGCAGCGGTTGCGAGCAAATCGGTCGCTTCGAGACTGAAGGACATGTCGCCGCTCTCTATGACAAAATGCAAAGCATGCGCGCCGAGTGGGGGCTGCTGTGATGTAAGCGGCCACTGCGGGCAGCATCAGGGCTTCGTCCGCGTCCGTGACTGTCCGGGCAGATGTCGGTGGATGGCTCGTCGAAGGTAGTGCTAATGCTTGTGCCGGTGATGGTCGGGGCCATGGCTTTCCTAATCACCATGTTACTGTCTCTCTCTCTCTCTCTCTCTATATATATATGCTTCAGTTAGTTTGTACATGTAAGCTTGCTAACAGAACCAGTTCGTGGCTTGTCAACTCCGCATGCTAAGCGTCAGGTTGGCAGGTTCTGGCCCGGATCCAGGACTGTCCCGAGTATGATGTGTCCTAGAAGAGCACTGCATTGCCATCAAAAGTCTAAGGCACTTGTCATGGTGGTCGCATCATGTATCTCAAGGAATCGGCAGGAATCGGAGGGGCATGCAGTGTTAAGATGAAACGGTTTAGGGTTTGGGTTTTGGGAGCCCTAGACGGTCTTAAGCCCACGGGTGCAGCTGCCATGGACAGGTGCGGACCAACTTCTACGCCGAGCTGCCTGGCAGAATTGTGTTCGGTCGGTCGACATTTGCCGGCCCTCAACAGCCATAATCAGGTCTTTCGGCGGTGTTATGTTTGGGGCGCAGCAAACTTTACTTTATTTGATGTCGAATATAGAACTCTTGAAACACTGAGCGTCAGTTGTTGACTTCTGTATACTGTAGGCATTCGTTCGGAGTCTTCCAAGAGGGTTCTGAAGCCTCGAGATGTGTCTTTTACCGGCCTGGCTAATTCTGCATTAGGGTTTACTAGCGCTTAGTGTAATCTAGGGTGCGCTATAGCTTCGGTTTAGGGTTCAAGGTTTAGGGCGCGTTAGCTTAGGGCTTATAAGGTTTAGGGGCTAGCTCTGGCGGTCGCAGGCTCTCGGCAGATCTCGTGAGCTTGGTTGAGTGCCGATCGAAGGCCTTCCGAGCGGCGAGACGGAGAGTTTGGGGTTCGAATGTGAGGATGTGAGGGGCTAAAATGATGTTTTCCTTTTTTTCAGTCCGCAGAATGATGGCCCCTGTAGTACTCCTAGGGTGCAGGGTTCTAAGTGCCCGGAGAGTGTCGGATCCAGGCAAACAGATCTCTGGGGCCTTAGCCTGATTCGGTTCAGGGCTCTGGGTTCTGAAGCTTTCACGTTCTTGGGTTCATGGGCCCGAGGATTTTAGGAATCGAGTTTAAAGTTAAGGGCAGCATCGGATGCGGGAAACGAGCGATACCATCATACAGGCAGTTCTGCCCATGAAGTCCATTGCTGGATCCTGCTAACCCTCAACCCTAAACCCTGAACTCGAAACCCCTACTTTTAAAACAGTATAAACCCCTTTGCAAACCCTAAACCATAAACCTTTCGCAACGCGGGCCCGAACTACAGAGTCGAAACCCCTATACTAAACAGTAAACCCCTTTTCAACCCCAGGCCCTATAAACCATAAGCCTTTCGCAACGCGGACCCGAATTACAAAACCGTCGAAGGACCCTGGCCTGGACGTGGAGAACGCTCTCATGGCCCTGCTCTCATCCTGGGGTCTTTGGAATGGAACTGACTTTCTGAGAGTTTAGGGGTTTAGGGTTTAGGGTTTTCGGTAGTTTGAGGGTTTAAGTGATGCTTCCCAGCTGATCAAGCAGAGTCTGGGGTGACGAAAAGGGTTTAGGTCACAAGTTCATACATTATGCAAGGCAGCGTTTTTTTGCAGTTTGCCCTCCAGATCGCGGGTGTGGTAGCCTTGAGTTCCAAATCGCCTCAAAACAATCCAGTATTTGGCCCGTAGCATCACGAGGCGTCCATGCGATCAACCTTTCGTCTTGTGCCTGCCCCAAGCCCTAAGCCCGAAAACGCCCAAGCCCTAAACCTAGAATATTGACAGGGCGAGCAATGCACAGCAATGCCCACCACTCCCCAAACGCTTCATTAAGCCCTGAATACCAGGGCTTCTCCTATGTCACACCAGTATCTGAAGTATTCAGGCCTTGGCTGGACCGCTGGGTGCTGCAATTACCCCCAATCCCAGACCCGTCAACAAGCAATTAAGCCTAAACTGCGCAACCCTGGGCAAAAGCCCTCCAACACTAAACCCCGCAACTACTTCTGCTCTAATTTCAGGGCTTATAGGGATTATGGTTTAGAAAGGGTTAGGTTTAGGATGTAGGATTTGAAGTTTTACGGCTTGGCGCTTAGGGTCTTTAGGGCAGGGTGCTCGTTTGACTCCGAAGCTTCGCGATGGGAGTGGTTTGGTTCGAGAGCCCTACCGTGCTGATACCGGGCAAGTGGGGGTGTTTAGGGCTCTGGAGGCTGGAGGATGTACGAGTTTACAGACTACATGCTAAAAAGAGCGACAAGTCTTTAATTTGCTCCATGATATTGAGATGAGCACCCTGAGCTCTAAACTCTAGCCCTAAACCCACCAAATGTAGCATGGAAACTTTGGCAGCGGTTTCCCGTGCAGTGCCGAGGCATCTCCACCAAGACATGAGTTCTGGAGGCCGGCCGGCAGTTCTCTGAACAGGGTGCAGGGTTTCTGGCTTTAGGGTTTGGGGTTTAAGAGGGTTTAGGGTTTAGGAGGGTTCTTGGAAGAGTGTTTGGCCATGATGGAGGAACAGCTATATCAAGGCAAAAAGATGCCGAACAACAACGCGAAACGACACACTTGCGCGTGCATTGGGCTTGTGCATCAGTGCAACACTGTCCCACTACTTCGGTGTCAGTTTTTTTTCCGGCTTTCTGGAAGCTGTTACATCTAAACTCTAAATCCAAGAACCCAAGAACGTAACCGTCGTCCTAGAAACCCCAAACTACACTTGAAGGAAGGTTGACTCTCTAACTTCCCACCTTCCAGGCTTGCGATGCAGCAGTGCTTTCATGCTCCAGGGCGGCATCGCTGGGCGCTGCCCTCGGAACAAAGCAGCGCATCCCCAGTATCCCCGTATCGTCCCTGTCTGTTTTTTCGTCTAGTAGTGGAATCCCGCCAAAACCCTGCTCTAACTACGAAGGAACCGACATCTGGGAAGGGTTCGGAGGCACGTAAGGCGTCGGGTTTTGCTCTGCGTCTAGGGGCGCCGGGTGGCACTGTTCAGTTGCCTTATAGGCAGGGCTATAGGGCTTCAGGGCTCATGGTAGAGGCTGGTTATTATGGGTTTAGCTTTTCAGGGCTCTGGTTCAGAGGTCTCTGGGTTCAGTATTTGTTCCGGGTTCACCACACATCCTGAGCCCCAAATCTCTTTCAGGTAGATTCGGATTTCGACAGTGGCGTGGTGAGGGTTTTGCGAGCCTTGTCGACTTGGTCCGGCGTACCGTATGGTGCCGTCTCCAGCTTCATTGCCGGGCAGCAGTCGAGTCCCTTGTGGAAAAACATTGCCTGCGGTCACTACTAGCTAAGCAAGTTGCCCCTTTAGCTGCAGGGTGAACGGTTATCCCTTCTTCTTACGAGGCAGTAGAGCGCCGTGGCTTGCACCGTTTTTTGTCTGTCCGTTGTCACATCGATAGTCGCTTCCAACGAAAGCCGGAAGCCCCATACCGACATAATGAAGAATCAAGAATCTTCATTTAGGTGTCTAGAGAAGTTGTAGAAGCTCCGCTTGTACTGGTAGTCCCCCATGTACTTAAGTCACTATAGATACGCAGTGTACAAATTGATTTAGTTGCTCATTCATTTGCTTGCTTGTTTAGATGGGTTGGGTTCCTGAAGAAGCAGTCCTGTGACCCCTTGAGTACTGCAGCTCAGCGTGTTTATGTAGGCATCTGATTAAGAACGATTGCGGTCGGATCAGGCTCCCCTTGTACGGTTCCCATTTTAGAGAAGTCGAAGCCCCGGTTGTTAAATGAGGTCCCCACGTCAGGTTTGGTATACATGGGCCCTATGAAACTAAAAGCCAATAAATAAACAAATAAATAAAATGAGTCAATTTAAATCTATATATATATATGTGTGTGTGTGTGCGTGTACACAAGTCCATAAACAGGTAGGCTATTTCTGGTTAAGGAAGGGGCCCCTTCATCCGGTGATTTCGAGGACGATGCACGGGGTGGAACTGGCCCCCGACTACTCAGCACAATGCTCCGGGAGAGGACTGTCCCTCGGCCGCCGATGAAGAGACTTCACTTTCCAACGGGGACGGTCCGGTTGGTGATGCTAGTTAGTAGTTTAGGGTTTAGGGGTTTAGTGTTTTAGGGGGTGTGGGGATTAGGCGGCTGAGGGTTGTCGCAGTCATCGGTGCAGAAATGGAATTAGCACATGGAGCAGCGATAGAAGCAATACTAGTCAAGTTGTCGTGGCCCAGGTGCTATTCCTAGTTGCCCAAGTAGCCGAATTAGCACGATGAGCATTGAAAGTGACTCCAAGTAGGGTCAGCAACCGGACGCGTCACCGAGCACGTTTGATCGAGCCATGTTCGAACCTGGACTCATTCCAGCTTTGTCCAGCCCCCTCTAACGCCTCTAACTACAACGTACTACTTACTACTACGTAAAACATTATTTCCGACCCCCTGGCTCCTAAACCTCGTACCTCCTGCTGCTACTACTGCTACTGACACTGCTGCTGCTGCTGCTGCTGCTACTACCACCGCTAGTAATGTTACCACTCCCTCCGACTTCGCTTCTTACTGCACTCCAATGCGCCCTGTCCGGTCCTAGTCTAGTCCAGGTCTAGTCTAGTCTAGTCTACTGCCATATGCGGGCTGAAACGCCTGATGCTTCTGAGTGCGCTGCTGCCTCAATTCGGGTTCTACATGGGTTTCAACTTTGATTAGAGTACAGCACTCTCATGATGCCCCCGTCCGACATTCGAAGGGCTTCTAAAACGGTGGCAAAGCGGTCTAGATCGCCCCTCCTTCCTCCCATCCCCAAGCTGAAGCACTGAGGCGAGTGAGATGGTTCACGCACGGCACCTAGCCTATCGCACGCCCTTGACAGGAACCGTTTTTGAGTTACTGGGGTCAGGGGTCCTTCTGATGTCGTGCCTGGAGGAAATGTGCCGCCATGCGGGAGCCAAAAATATTCCGCCAAAGCGCGACTGCTCAAGAGATTTCAATCTAAGATATCTAGAAGAAGCCACGGCCACCGTCCTTCGGTGCGAAGATCGCGTTTCAAGCATGTGCGACTTCATTCGTTACTACCAGATAACGCTGGCGAAGCATATCCCCAAAGGTCTTCCAATCTTCCGGTCCCGATGCAAAGAGGGTTATGGGCCGACGGGGGGGTAGATCCGAGGTGTTGCCATGCCGTTTCCTCAGCCAGTCGGGCTGGCTCCGTGGGTTGCCTCGGTCGGGGTTTATGGAGTTTATGGCATTTTCATGGCCCAAATGGAAGAAGGGTCACGAGTCATGAGGTAATACAGAATTCTGGGGTGCAGGGGCCGGCATTTCCCAGGCACGAGCCCCATTTCTTACTTCACCATGGCTGCCATGCCTTGGCTTTAGCAAGATTGAAGGTAAAGTGAGTGTAAGGTACAGTTTAACCAGCGTTCAAAACGTTTAAGCGATTTCAGCTTTGGCGCGCGTTTGTTCAACCATTCCGACGTTTAAAAAGTAAGTGGTTAATCAGCTTAAACATAAACCCCTGCCTGCCATGG